GTATAGGGAGGATGTACAGTAGAAATATTGTGAGGGCAAAGTGGTAATTATAGTTTATAATTTTGTGTAGTCTTCTGGTAGGCATTCTTTTTGTCTTGCCTAACACTAGTATCTTTCTTAGCTAGTGCTTTTATAGCAAATACCACATATGGATGACTTTGATGGATGACTTTTCTCACTGTTTCAGCTCAATTCAGCTCAACTCAACTCAACATACTAGTGTTGGGTCAGAATCAACTCAGAGTTGACCCTCCAGGTTTTCAGAGGCTGTGAATAACACAGGAAGAAATTGTTCATCTTTCTCCGGAGGAGTGATGGGTGGTTTCAAACCTGCCTGTGGGTTACCAGCACACATGTTCACCCACTAGATGACCACAGTGCCCACATTTAGGAGGCCAAAAATCAGACAGAATTCTCAGCTTCTCCATGGGAGAATGATAGACAGTCTCCTTCTGTGTGATTTACTGCCTCTGAAAACCCACTGGAGGGTCAGCTGTGAGTCAGTGCAGTACACAAAAACATGCTGTAGAAAGGTTTTCTCTCTGTGTGTCAGCTCTGGAGGAAGATCCCTGTCTCTTCTGAGCTTCTGCTTTTGGGCAATCTTCAAGTAGCTTGATTTCTGTCTCTCTATATATATTTATATTTTTGGAAGTAGGAGTGGCATGCACTTCCTAAACCACATGCCCTCAGTAACTCTATGAACTTTGATAATTGCCATTAGTTGTAGAAGGGCTTTGGGCCTTTTGTTCATAGGGTCACTATGAGTCACTCTCTACTCAAAGGCAGAGAATAGGAGAGGATTATATCCAAGAAAAACCAGGGTACTATGGTAGCCAAGGGGTAAGGAGCTGTTGTTTTCAACCAGAAACACAAGATTAAAATCCACCATCTGCTCTGTGAGAGAAGATGGACAAACTCATCAAAGGCTTTACAGTCTCTGAAACTTTCTGGAAGGTCAGCTTTGAGTTGTTAATGCCTACTCAATGCCACATAATAACAATTACCAGAAAAGGGAAGTTCTGGTTGTATAGTTTGTAGTGAATTTGCTGCTATCCAAAGCTGTACTTCTCTGGTGGTTCAAATCCGCCAGTGACTCCATGGAAGAAAGACGGGAAGATCGCTCTGAGTCTGAACTTACCAGATAATAGAGAGCTTTTGAGTATTAACAGAAGAAGGAGGAATGGATCCTAGATGGATGAAAAGGCAAATGACCACCACAGTTTAATGCAATCAGAGGAAAAAAGCATATTGCAGTCACTGTATGCAGAAACATATTATTATAATTATAATTATACCTTCCTCTCATTATTTTGTTGGACATCATGCTGTCATCCTGATGACACTGATTAATACACTGTACGTATGTTAGAGGGATTTCAAGAAACCGAGACTCAGTCAAGTTAAGAAAAATTGATGGTAATGATGTGAGAATTTCATGGACATCCCAAAACTCTAATAGACTCAAACTTCAGGAAAACTGGAAAATCTCCAGCATCTCTTTTCTTCATGGCTACAATATCTCTTGGTTACATCATTTCTACTTCACTATATAGTTGACCCTTTCTCCTCACCAATCATCTTATTGAGTTGTTGTTATTTTTGTGGTTATATGCTGTCGATTCAATGCTGATTCAGAGTGACACTGTGTACAACAGCTCTGAACCCTGCTCTATTCTGAGTGAATTTCACTGTCTCTGACACACCTATCCCCTTTACCCCAGTCACTGAGTCAGTCCATCTCATCCAGGGTCTTCCTGCCTTTTTTGCTGTCCCTCCACAGTTCCAAGCATGATGTCCCTCTCCAGAAACTGGTAACTCCTTGCAACATGGCCAGAGTATGTCAGACAGAGCTTCAAAATCCTTGCTTCCAAGGAGCAGCCTGGTTTCACCCTCTCCAGGACAGACTTGTTTGTTCTCTTAGAAGTCCATGGTATATTCAAAACTCTTCTCCAGTACCATAACTTGAATATGTCAATTCTTCTTCTATTATCCTTAGTAATTTCCCACCTCTCTGATGCATAGCACGTAATTGCAAAGATCATGGCCTTTATCAAGCACACCTTTGTCTCTAAACTGACACCATTGCTCTTCAGTACTCTGGAGAAGTCCCTGACAGTAGATTTTCCCAATTCAGCTACTATATAAATGATGTCCTGGCTGCTTGTACCAAGAATATTGATTGTGGAGTCAAGAAAGCTGAAGCTGTTAACAATCTCAATCTCTTCACTGTCTATCAAGATGCTGCTAATTGGCCCAGTGGGAGGAACCTCTGTTTTCTTTGTGTTGAACTTCAATCCATAATGAAAGCTGCAGTCTTTGACCTTCTGCAGCAAATGCCTCAGGTTCTCCTCAGTTTTGGCAAGCAAGGTTGTGTCATCTATGTAATGCAAGTTGTTGATGAGTCCTCCCCCAATCCTGATGCAACATTCCTCCTCACAGAGCCCATCCTCCCAGATGATCTGTTCTGCATATAGAAAAGGTATGGAGACGGAATACATCCCCATCATACACCTTTCCTGATTTTGAACCATGCAGTGTTTCTTTGCTGAGTCTGACAACTCTCTCCTGGTCCTAGTATAGGTTTTGCATAAGTATGATCAAGTGTTCTGGAATTCCCATTCTACTCAGAGTTAGCCACAATTTGTTGTGATCACACAGTCAAAAGACTTTGCATAATCAATGAAAAAACACATCCATCCGTCTGTACTCATTGCTTTCAGCTAAGATCCATCTGACATTGGCTCTAATGTCCCTAGTGGTATGGCCCCTTCTAAACCCAGACCTGCACATCTGGCAATTCTCTGTTGAGTTCCAGTACTGACCCATTAATTCTGCTGTCCTGAAATCTTTCCTTAAATATGGCTTTGAATTGTCCCAATCCCTCTGGCTTTATCTCTGACTCGACCTCGTATCATCTTCCAAGTGTTCTGTTTAGCTCTTCTCTTGGTTCTAAACAACTCATTTCCACAACCTATCAATTCTGAGTTCCTGAATGAGGACCCTAAGTATCCTAGCTCTTAGATTTTTGTGCATTTCTCCTTTCTTTTTTTATTGTGGTAAAAACATACATAACAAGCATTTGATGATTCATTAATTTTTACATGTATCATTCAATTAAGAGATGGATTACATTCTTTCTGTTTACAAACATTTTCACAATGTCCTTTTCTAAGTTGTTCAAATACCATTAACATCAACTCAATGCTTCCTAAGCAGTAATTCCCCTTTTTACTTGTCCTGGGAGCTACTAATAAAATTTGGTCTCTATATATTTGCCACATTGCATAAGTGATACCGTACAGAATTTTCCTTTTGGGACTGACCTGTTTTATTTGGCATAATGTTTTCAAGGTTCATCCACGTTGCAGCTTGTGTCTCGCTCAACTTTCAGGTAGCCTATGGGTGGACCATGTCGCACTGGGTGTTTGGCTTAATTTAGTTAATTAAATTCTTTGGCTTAATCAACTGGAGCTCAGAGGAAGGAATATACATATACTGTAGAAATAAATCTCATATCGTGGATGAGACAGATGATCCACAGGGAAGAAGTTTTCCTTGAAAGTTTGTGCATGGTTAAGCAGGTATCAAATACTTTTAGTGCATAGAAAAGTCATATGGGATTGTCCAGAAAAATATCATTATCTTCTAGATGTACACTGTAGGCAGCTTCATGTTGAACCCCTTGAGCAATTTACAGTTTGTTTTGCAATTACCTAGCCTATTTACAAAAGTTTGACAGTATATAAATAGTTTCGGTTCTAATGTGCATAAGGAGTTGCACTGTAACTTTCTAACAGGACTTAAATGTTTAAATACATCAAAAGGGAAATTAAACTGGAGAGTGTAACTTGAGGTAAAGAAAAAGTGAGTTAAAAATTGAGGACTAAGGAGAATCTAAGAAATGAGAACATTGCATATGACAGAAAGTCTAACATTTTAAAGATTAAAATCTGAATCCATGATGGCCCAGCTAATCTTTTCTCTGCTCACAAATCAGAATCATAGATTTCCATTAATATGAATCTCCTTGAATCTGATGTAAGAGGAAAATCCATCCATATTGCGAGATGCCCAGTTTGGCTGTTCACCCCAAGAGTTTATTTCAGTGAAGGACTGTACCATGTTACTGGGCTGTCAGCTGTCCTTACTAAATAAAGATGTATGGCATTGCATGCAAAACAGTGCATGGAGCAAATCATTTAAAAAGCCAAACTCTGTAAATCTAACAAAAATCAACCACACAAAAGTTGAAATCCAGAAGTTTCTCTTGCTTAAGCTACTTTCACACTCTAACTTAAACTCAGAAACGTTATGTTCTTGTCATGCTTCTTTGTTATCCTAAAAGAATTTTTTTAATCACTGCGTATAGTTGAGGAAAAAAATTAGGAAATTACCTTCCAGAATCTTCTGTCTTCATATTTAACTTACTATAGAGTTTATACAGAGCATGTGGTCTTAAAACACCCCAAAGCCTCTTATTTACAGGGTTTATACCACAGTTTCTCCAGCATGCTTGCACTACCTATAAGGTATATCTCACAAAAGTGTGGGTTTCCTTTCAGTGTCCAAGTTATGCAGTATCTTCACATGTTTTGATGTGGTACATATGAAGATTATCACCTACATTTTGAGAGGCAGTACAATGTACCTTCAGCCTTAAGTTAACTCTGTTCAGCTGACATCAGTTAACATCGCAGCCAACGGATTGCCAATAGTAATGTCTATGAAGAAAGTTTGACAGATTTCATTCGCTCCAATGTGGGGTTGATCTCTCACAGCTAAATTAGGAATTTTCGGGTATTTTTCTGAAAACGAGTGCAGCATGAACTTTATTAATGGTTTAGAATTGTGCATAATGCATTTTGTTTGTCCTTATTGCCATATCCAGAAAGATGTGTTGCCTCATGTCCGATAAATTCCCAAGTGGCAAGATGCAATCTGTTGTTAGTCTGCAAAGTAAACCGTTTAAATTAATCCTAATGTGATTTTCTTGATTACAGATGCGACCCATTGGTCACGATGGCTACCATCCCACCTCCGTGGCCGAGTGGCTGGATTCCATTGAACTGGGCGACTACACCAAAGCCTTTCTCATTAATGGCTACACCTCGATGGACCTATTGAAAAAAATCTGGGAGGTTGAACTTATAAATGTAAGTTGGTCTCTTAATGGCACCTGAGCCATTCAGCCCTTTGTAATTAAAATACCAATTGGAGATGGCACCTATTGCCTTTTCTTTCTCTGTATCTGTTTGGGCTCCCAATAACGATTTTACACATACCTTCAGCTTTAAGGTACAAATCCCTTGGCTCGATCAAGTCAGAGTCATTGTCTTTTTGAAGTTTCAGTGGAAGAAACTGAGGGGTAAAGAGTGGCATCTTGCATTGTCTCAGAAAAGCTTCAAGCATTCAGGGCATTTGTCATTTTAGGAAGCTTTGTCTATTTGTGTTTGGCAAATGGTCATAACAAACAAGTCCTCATTCTGATCTTCGCTCGGGTCCATTGTTAAAAAGTAACGGTATAGAGCATTTTCCTATCTGCACTGTTCTTGCTTGTTTGTAACTTCACTGCATATACAAACCCGATGGTTGAAGGGAATATTTTTTCTTATTAAGTAAGCTGCTATGCTACCAGATTTTATCTTCCCAAGCTGCGTCTAACCTTATGTTGTCTCTGCTTTATTTGTATGTTTGGCATAGATTGCCTATAAAAACTGGCCGACATATGTTCTCATATATCTAAGCCCAAAAGAGATCAGCTAAATCTGCATACATGATTTTGATATCTTTCTCATCTTATTTCTATGGCTAATTTTTTTCTAATGGAAAACTGACACAAAGAGGGTGGAAAGATCGCATATGAAGGTTATAAATTCACTTACATTTAGCTCTATAAGCATTTCTTTTCAAAAAATTGACAGTAGCAGCCAGTCTTTTAGAGACATTTTTCTACAATTTAAGCTTCGTATTCCCGTACTGGAGGGGAAATGCATTTAGACACTGGAAACTGGGAAGCTAGCTGGTCAATTTCTGCCAGTTCATGGTGCTCTATTCTACTCTTCAATTTCTTATCTCGTCAGAAGTCCAGTCTCTACATATTACCTGCCGTCATTTATTTCAAATAATAGTTATTATTAGGAGCTAATTATTCTTTGCTTTTTTTTTAAAAAAAGGCTGTCTTTAAAAGTAATATCTTCTCCCAAACAATATATTAAAACTGTCCCTGAGTCTAAATGGAAACTTTAAATGAACAATTTCTCGACGCCTTCTAATTTGCCATTTCTATTCTTAGCCCCTCACAAAAGCTAACATGATTTCAAAAGAAACTCACTGTCTGGCTAAAACCTCTGGTTCATTTCTGTCACAGACATTGGAAGTAACTGAAGCTATTCCATTTTTTTTTGTTGCTTCTAGCTGAGATTTCAGTTCTTCTAGAACTTGACACACATCTCGTGGCTACTCTCGGCCATATGCCAGAGAAGTCATTGGCTTCCACTTATCAAACATGCTTCCAATGGAGCTCTATCTCAATTAATGGCCAAATATCTCTATGTAGCATCTCCTAAGTATACTTGCTTTGCTGCTTAAGAGTAAATACTTACTGTAAGTACCACTTGAGTTACTCACCTAACTGACACTAGCAATCATCCTCCATTGAAAAAATAACATCCTAATAGAATTTGTTTTCACTGAAGCAAGGCTCTTCTGTAATAGAAAATAGCTCTCTCGCAAAATTCAAAAGCTCAGAATAACATCTAAGCTCTTAGACTTGATCCTGCACTTTCCCCAGTGCTGTGGATACTGGCTGTCTGGATCTCAGTTCAGAACTGTGTCTGAGCACATAGGCAGTTGTAACAGCTATAGGAACAGTGATGCTGGAAGACCTGGCTGCCAGTGCTCAGGGGCTGATCCACCACTTCTCACTGGGCCATGCAACCTTGAGTTGAGAAAGGTGGCCATGCTTGCTGGGCCGAGTGTTCCCTTCCGCCATATTTGCTGTAATACAATCTGACTTCAACCCAGGGTATGTAAGTGCATGTCACAAGCACTGTATCACAGTACAGTCACTGCATTGTAGACCTTTTCTGGCCTAGAATACAACGTCTTCATCTACCCATCATCACAGGATCTCTCCCTTAAAGTAAACCAAATTTTAAGTCCATTGTGATGTCTTTATGGGCAAGCACACCCTCTAAGAGACTTTGTAAGTCTAACTTTGTAGATACATTTATTCTAAACAAGAAATATACATTTCATTTTGGGAATCAGAAACCAAAGTGGTTATGCCTACTAGAGTAGATGGTTTGGAGATATTGGGCTTCAAAATGAGAGAAAGACAAAATGTGTAGCTACTGTCTTATGAGGGAACTCTGGTGGTTTAGTGGTAAGGCGTTGCACTGTCATACCAAAGGTTTACAGTTCAGAGCCACCAACTACGCTGTAGAAGGAAGATGGGAAATCTCTTCTCGTGCAATTCATTGCCTCCGAAAGCCTCCTGCAGGTTCACCTACCAGTAGTTCCAACTTCACAATACACAACAACTGACTAATGAAATTTTGGCTGGTCTCAAATTCAAGACTCTTACTTATCCCAACTGATGTGGGAAGGTTTCCAAATTTGAGACAATCTCTTAATCTAATGTGTGAATCCAGTACTTCTATATTAAATAGCATAATTTATTTGAGATTCTATTCCTAGCCTAAAACAAACTTTGATTTAGAGCAAAGCTTTCAGAAAAAAATCAACTCTTAAGTCACTGTAATGAATGGGCCACTTTTAAAGAGATCACATATCTCCAGTAACCATTGTTCTATGTAAAATGAAGCAAGTGGTGGTGGTGAGGTCGAGAATAAAGGATAAGGAAATTGACTGCTGATTATAAGTATCTTGAACTACCAGCATCACTAACTAGTATTGATTAAAAATTCCATTTCATGTGGTACTGTGCTTGTTTTAAAAAAATGAGTCGCAGGCGACTTGACGGCACATAACAACAACAACAACATTATCAGACCGTGTAATCAGTTTATTCAAACTATCCAATGAGTAAATAAAAAGCATACAAAGGTATCACTTGCAAAGTCCAGTTATATTTGACATTATAATCTTTGAAAAAGTCTCCAAACATCTTTTTGTTGGTGGTATACATGATTGCTTTTCAAAAGCAAGGTTATTGGCAAAGATCAGTGTGGGTTTTGATGACAGGGTTGCTCAAAGGTTAGAAGGTAGATGTCAGGGAAAGTGACAGGCCTGGTGGACCTCAGAATCAGACTGTCACCAGTCGATTTCATGTGCAGAGATAGTTTTAAGACATGTTGTAGTACCAACCTTACAGGTCTATGTGTTTCTAGACTGAAACGATGGAAGATAATGCCAATAGTTGCTTCTTTTATTGGCAATCTGTGCTCCATAGTCAGAAGCTGATGTTTTACCAGTGCTCTGTTGTACTCCTGTGTCTTCCATGATCGATAATATCATTGCTAATACTTTCCATTTTGTAGCAACTATTTTCATGTTCAAATATGAATCTATGAGGAAAGCTTGCCAGGCAAATTGTTTCTTCCACAAATACTCGCAGGAGGAACCTCTGGCTTGAATTCTTGTTGCCTCTAAAGACTTGCTGTGAGAGTATTAAAGATTAGTTGATGGTGCATAAGTAGGAGAATTTTTATTTTCAGTTAAGAAGGTGATTCAAGCTTTGCCTATGATTTTACCACATTTGTGGAATACTCCTTTCTGCTGTTGATAACCTCAATAGCCTGCATCAGGAGATTTTAACTAAGAGAACAACTTGGTGTTTCCTTTAAATATGTGTGAGTAATTTTACAAAATAAAAAATAACTTTAAGGAACCGTGCAAATAGCCTATCATCCATTTTTCGTTCAAAATGTATATATATGTATGTATGTGTATGTGTGTATATATGGGGAAGTGTATGTGGAAATTAAGATAGATAATAATAATAATAAATAATGGATGGATGGATGGATGGATGGTTGTTTGGTTGGTTGGATGAATGGATGGAGGGATGGATACATACGTACATACAAACATAGATGTATAAATGTTGTTGTTGTTGTTATGTGCCGTCGAGTCGTTTCCGACTCATAGCGACCCTATATGCACAACAGCCCTAAACCCTGCTCTATCCTG